CAGAGAGAGAGAGAGGGACATACTGAATCTGAGGCAGGCTCCAGGCTCCGAGCCATGAGCACAGAGCCTGACATGGGGCTCAAACTCATGGACCTCCGAGATCATGACCTGAGCCGAGGTCAGATGCTCAACCAGCTGAGCCACCCAGGCGCCCCTGTGAGTCTGCATTTTAACAAGCATCCTTCTTCTCCAGGTGATTTTGATACATGCTGAACTTTGAGAACTGTTCTAAAGGGATTCCATAAACACATTCTATTGAGACAACATATAAAAAGTAGACCAGTCAATGTAACCACGTAGCTTATCTCTGGGATCCCTAATTGCCTTAAAACCGAGGTAGAGAGAAACCTGAAACTAAGTTAAGTTTCATTGTTTACTGAAACTTTAAGTCGAGATAAACCATTCCAGAAATCAGCAGGCAAATCAACGAGGAAACAAGATTTGACGTGCAAACATGGACAGAGGTAGGGTTTTTCAGGATTGGGTCTGTTGTGACAGGTAGGGGCTCTCCTGAATCAGAGGTGGGTGAGCGGTTTGTGACCCCGGGTTTCTAGACCAGTATTCCTCCGAGGGTGGCCTGAGTCTGAGTCAGTAGAGGTGCTAATAAAAGTGTGGGTTCCTGAGCCCCACTGAGCCGACAGAATGTCCGGGGGCGGCAGCCTGGGAAGTGGCATTCCAGAGCAAGCTCTTGGGTAACTCTGACCTGCGCTCATCCAGGTTTGAAGACGTCCGCTCTAGAAGAGGGAGCTGAAATGAGCGGAGGCAGATTTAGATTTACAAATGCTCCGTCATGAGAAGCTCATGTTCTCCAAGCGGTTCTAGCAAATGGGCAAACTTGCAAGCCCAGCATTTTACGGCAGATTTAAATTAAACCGTCAACATCCCCAGGACTCCTCAGAGCCTAATTTTCAAGACACAGTGGGATGGTTTCTATTTATCTTCACTGATGTTCGTGTACAGTTATTTGTATATACGTTTATGAAAAGTCCTAATTTCCTTTGGAAGCATCCTTCTTTAGCCCTTGGCCACGCCGTCCCCTATCTATCTGATTTCCTGTCCCGCCCAAGAGAGTTGGGAAACAGGCAGGCATGTTTCGGCTTCCCTTACGTTGAGTATTTGGAGAGAAGGATGGGGAGGGAGGGTTGCCTTTGGACCGATAAACATTTACTGCAGGCCTCACGTCGTGCTCAGGGATGTGTCTGTAAAAATAAAATCAGGCAGCTAACTTGCGTAGCTTCACGGCACTGCCTTCGCGGTAAAGGGGAGCACTGAGCCCCTGTTCTGGAGCACAGGGTCCCCAAGCCTCTGGGGCTCAGGAATCCATGCTTTTATTAGCACTTCTGGTGACTCAGGTAGAGGTAGTCCGTGGCTTCTGAGAGGTTCATTGAATGTTGGGAGAGGGTGTCCCGTCTGAAGAGGAAGGGCATTTCAGAAGGCGTGCCCTGGAGGAGACGAGGCATGGAGGAGGTTTTGTGCAGGCTTAATTGGAAGTGTCTCTGGGACCCCATCATTGGGCACCCACCTCCCCTCGGCATCTGTTGAGACCCAGCAGTTGGTGAGACACAGCCCCAAACGTTTCACATGCATAATAATCCCGTTTAATCCTGACAGCATGCTGCCGAGCTGGGTGTCTCCTTTAAGGGATGAAGAACTGAGGTTAACTAAATTACTCAACAGGCTATTTAACCAAGTCACTACCTTGTAGAGTTACTAAGTGTGGTATCTGGGGTTGCCTCTCCCCAGCGGCGTGCCAGTGAGGCAGCTGGGTGTAAGAGGTTAGAGCTCAAAAGACTTGGAGCCCACAGTTTTATCTCTGATACATATGTGTGTGTGTATCTAGGCATATTTAAAATACTGCATATAAGATACAGATATTTTAAATTACATATCTATCAACTGACTACCTGAGAGTTGATAAGATCACAGCATCCTCCTTTCTATCCCCACAAGAAACTGGTTGGGAGATGTTGAAGTTGCCAAGGCAAAGGTAGCCTGGGAAGGCGTAAGGATTGTCATCGATGATTAGCTGTTGTGTGGGGCACGTTCTTTCCAGGATGCTATCTGAGTGGCATACGTGGCTAAAATATTAGATATATTTTATCAGTCAGGCAGGATCAAACTCAGAGGGTTCATTTCCAGCTCCTGAGTTTGAAAGCAGGCATAGACAACAGGGCTCCACGAGCCGTTCTCCTAAATGGGATAGCCTCATCTCCAGAGAAAAGTCAGATCGACAGTGACCTGGTTTCTGAGATCCACCCCCACACTGC